GGTTTTCCTTTTGCTGTTGGTTCACCCTCCAATGGCCGCCACGGCCGGCGCGCTGAGGCCAGCGCATCGCGCTGATACGAAGCCAGGAGCCAGGTGCTTTTCCTGGTCTCCCATGGGGTGCAGGGCCCATGCACTTGGGCCATCCTCCACTGCACTCCTGGGCCACAGCAGAGAGCTGGCCTGGAAGAGGGGCAACCGGGACAGAATCCGGCACCCGACCAGGACTAGAACCTGGTGTGCCGACGTGCAAGGTGGAGGATTAGCCTATTGAGCTACAGCGCCGGCCTGGGATGTTTTAAGATCTCAGTATATGGTCACTGTGATGAGCTGTAGTCATATTTGTCAGTTCATTTTCACTGACTTTTCAACCCTTCACCTGTATAAGGCAAGTCAGGTACAGAAGCTTATGCCTATAAAAGGAGCATGTGTGTAATTATACAGTTGTTATTGGTTAAAAAAAAAAAGGACCTTGGAGCCTTGGGCTTGATTCTTCTCAGGGGGAAAATTGAGCATAGAAATAACAGAAGGACATCTAAGTCAAGGAGAAAACCACTATAAACAACCTCAGTTGGGGCAGAAGCAGAGAGAGCAACCTGTTTTAGTACTGACCTGTCTGAGCATAGCATGAAGCTGGAAGGCTTATGCCCTCTGTGGTCCTGCAAGGTAAGACAGTTTCAGCAGCACTGTTAGTGCAGCAGCAAAGGAGCCTGTGGCAGCTGCCTGGGACAGCAGAGTGACAAAGGTGTGGGCATTGTGGTGCTGAGAACATTTCTTCTGAAGCACTTTACTGATATCCCCAGGGCAACACAAAGGAATGAGGGAGATTTTGAAGGAGTAAATGGAGATAAAAGAGTATTCTTTGAGAAGTACTGGCAAACAAATAAATGGACTGGGCATATCTTGAAAGGAGAAGTGCGAAGAAGACAGGTCTATCAAAAAAAACCTGAACCAGAGAAATGGATTCAGTGCATTTTGAAAAGCATGGGTTTATCTGCTAAGATTTCTAAGTATCAGCCTAACAGTATTCAATTCAAGACAATGTTTATATCACAGCCACCAGGCAAATATCATTTTCTGTTTTTTGAGTAAGCCACCCAAAAATGTGCTTAGAAGATTGTTTTCCTTGGCCTTCAAAATAAATTTATTCTTAAAAATCCACAGAGGACTGGTTTAAACAAAAATGTTACCCTGTAAACTGTCTGATTGTTGTGGTTCCTAGTTTATTAGTTATTTGTAGTTTTTCTTGTTAGCTGAGCTGTTGGAAATATTTGTTTTATCTGAGAAAAAGCACTCTCCACAAGCCAGTTTTTGTATTTGAAGATATAGAATGGTAGACATTTTAATTTGATGGTTTTCAAGGGATCAAAAAAATGTGAGACTGATAATAATGATAATGTGGTTCTTTAACCAAAATTTCTTGAACATTTCCTCAAGTTTATTGGATATGTGAGTCAGTAGTTCCGGCTTAACTCATTGTGTTACAGCCATCATTAAACAGTGAGCTCTTACATGTTACTTATTTGAATCTTTCAGTGTTCTGGGAGGTAGGCAAGGCCTGGCAAGTGTTCAGTGACTTGTGAAGCTCTAGATATTTTCTGCCAATTCTAGTCTAGTGTGTGTTTCACTCTACAGAGGAAAGTAATGGTGAAAACATGAAATTGTGTGTACCTTGTTGTTTCGTTGCATTTCTTTATGATGTGTATGGAAGCTGATTGAGGTTACTTGGTTTCAAATCGCTGCAATTACTCATGCAGAAAGTACTACGGACTTGATTTCAAATCGCTGCAATTACTCATGCAGAAAGTACTGCGGTGGGATTAGCCTGGTTTTCCTGCAGAGAAGACAGGGTCCACCAGAACTGAGCAGCCATGTTCTTGCAGGCAAGCAATGTCTGTCAGATAGCACAAATCTCCTGCAGGTGTGGATGCCACATAATTTCTGATTGGAAAGTATTATGTGAAGATTGGGCTATTTATTGTTGTTAGTGGAAGAAAAAGTAGCTGGAGGAAAAACATAAAAAGAAGTTCTGGCATAAACAGATTATTTATACAAAAAAGGTAGTGAGGGAGCTAACCAGCAGGTTTAGGCATGAGGGAGGTTGTATAGAATTGGAACCGAGGAAAGGTCCTTGGATGTGGTAATTAGAAGAGAGTGCTCTTTCATACATTCATACATTCATTCATCCCAATTGATTGCCCTGTCAGAATCAACTAGGAAGCTTTTTACAGACTGAACTTGCTTGGTTCTATGTCCCCAGTGGATGTATGCCTGCATACATCCTTCATTTGTCATTTATTGCTGGAAATGAGAGGTATCTGTTCTTTTAATGGTGTAGAGCAGAAAAGATGTTTAGAAACCCTAAAATAGATTGTCTTTAAGTGCCCTTTCAGCCTTATGACTGGAATGTAGAAAGTAAAATTATTGTTTGACCCATTGAGTTTTACTGATGAAGTGAGATAATTGAGTAAAGGAATGGTAGTATCATTTGAGCAAGATTTTGGAATTGCAAAGATGATACATGTTTGTATATTGCTTCTTAAGTGCAAAGTGAGACAGCGATATGAACTCAGTGTTCATGGTAGGTAACCAGATGAATTGGTTTTGGATGATTTCCTAAATATTTAAAACTACTACTTTTTTCTATATGTTGCATTTGATGATAAACCAAAGAATAGCATTATTTGATGATTACTTCCCATTCTTATTGGTATTATTACTTATCTTTATTTATTTATTTTTTTTTGTAAGATTTTGTTTACTTATTTGAGAGGTAGAGTTAGAGAAAGGGAGAGACAGAGAGAAAGGTCTTTCAGAGTTCATTCTCTAAAAGGCTGCAAAGGCCAGCAATTGGGCTGATCTGAAGCCAGGAGCCAGGCGCTCAGGGACCCAAGCACTTGGGCCATGCTATCCTCCACTGCCTTCCCATGTCATAGGCAGGAGGTTGGATCAGAAGAGAAGCAGCCGGGAAATGAACCAGTGCTCATGTGGTAGAGACCCTGCCTACTAATCCATAATGCCCAGCATTTATCTTCAGTTTTAACTCTTTTTTCTGTCAGACCCTGTGACAGGGTCTCCAGCTTATTCCAGGAACTTTGTACATAGTTTATATATGAAACTTTATGCAGCTAAGTCATATTATTGAAATATGATTTCAGAAAGCATAGGAAAAAGTTGTACAGAATATTCTACAGGGATAAACATGGAATTGGGTAGGTTCAACTTAAGTAAGTTAATAACTGAAAGAGGAAAGGGAGAGTGTCCTCCCCTTGACATCATTTTCTGCCAGTTGTGTTTCATGGATATTGTTGCAAGGTTTTTCTGAGTTTCGTGATTGGGTTCTCCTTTGGACATAGTGCACATCTTATGTATGAAGTTGTGATTGGGAATAACTACATCTTTCAGTGGTTTCTGAAGCTGTTGAATTATAGCATGGTTGGATAACCACAAGAATTTTATTAATAATCATTTATGATCCGAAAATGCACTGGATCCGTTATATAACTTGAAAATAAATTCAAACATTGTTCCAAATCTAAAGAAGAAAAATAGAACCAATTAAACCAATCATCTTGCGAAGATCGGAACAGCTACAACTGGGAAATAGCCTTCTTATAGAAAAGAATTTAGGAAATGAAGGTAATAAGGGCTTCCTGGGAAGAGAGGTCAGAGGGAACTGAATTACTGTGATTGCAATCTTAGAGGAGTAAACAAAAGAAGCTGGAGTAGTGCTGTCTTATTTTTCCTTCTTCCCTCTGCAGTTGCTCACATACTTCTTCTGTGAACAGTTGGTTAACCTTCAGGTTGAAGAGCTTTATCTTTGCCAATTTTTCAGAAATGAATCTGGATATATAAAGATCTCCACCTACATCTCACTCTTTAGCAGGCATGTGCCAATGCACTTGTGCATGTGAATGAGTGTGAGAGGTGACCTCTTGACTGAGATATACACACACACGTGTATGCCTTTTCTTTTCTGAGTGTATACGTGGTATATTCCAGGGATCAAAACTGACATGAATATTGATGGGTGATTGTCATTTAGTTATGCTAGCATTTTATCTTTCTAATTCAGTAGGATTAGTTTCATTAGTAGTACCTTAAGGAACAAGATATACGGTTGAATTCTTATTTAGCTACAACAGATCCATTTAAGTTTTACATGTTGTTACTGGCATTAAATGCAACAAAGGGTATTGTTAACTGTGTTTAAATAATTTACTATAGTAAATAGTAACTGTACTTCATATATATGGATTAGATAGACATATACAATGCAGGTCATCAAAACAAACATGTCATTTTTACTTGAAACAAAAAATGGTCAGTTAAATTTATTTTTACTATCCACAGCTTTCCTCATTATGAATGCCCGTGAATTATAGTATTTTTATAGGTTGTTATTTAAGATTTGTATGCTCACAGTAAAAACTTCAAGCTAGAAATGAGTTTCTATTCTGCAAGAAAAAAATTATTGATATAATCAAGAATTAGAAAATCACATAATCATAATACAAACAAATAAGGCTAGTAGTTTTTTGCTTAAAGCCTTTTGAAAATTACAGTGTTCTCAGGTTTGAGGGAAATATAAATGTTGGCATAATATCCTGCTTGTGAATAAGAATATTTTAATAGTTAAAAAGGTGATGAGCCAGTTTTTCTTAAAAATAAAAGCCAAAGCCAACCCACTGCAAAACAAAATATAATCAAAAGTAGCTCCAGAGAGCTGGAGTGCTGGAAATGTCTTAATGCTGTGATTGACTGCCCTTTGCTGAGTGGTTTATTTATTTAAAATGTGGTTGGGGTGGTGAACTCGGACACTGAGATAGGTAAGTTAGGTTTTCTTCCATTCAACGTATAAGGTATTTGATTATGCTTGATTTTCTAATCTCAGGTCATCTAAGTGGAGTTTGGCATACATGACATTACTTAAGAATTTATATCCTTATAATAGTACATGAAAAATTACAAATCTGAAATTTTTTTTATATTAATACTTTTAGGTATGCTATACCCCCGGAGCATGGGAAACGACTTGAAAGACTAGCTCAAGGTAAAATTACTTTCAGTGTTTCTTATCTTAATAGATTCTTTGTTTTTGAGGTGTTTTCACAGTGTAGCATGATACTCTTTTATTCTTTTCAAGTTACTGGGTATTAAAGGTTCCTCTAACTAAACAATTTAAATGTATTATGAGTATTTTTTTCATTGTTATTTTTGTTGACTGTTTAGTATTTTATCAAGTGATTTCAGTTGATTTTTTTTTTATAGTGGTTTCAGGTATGTTTTGCCTCTCCATAATGTATTCAAATCATTGTGCCAATAATTTCTTCCTTTTAACTTTTCCTTCTTTTTCCTTTATTTTTCCCTCTTTAAAGTTATGTTCTTCTAAAGAGTATTGTTGCTGTGTCTCAGGCAGCAAGTGTTTTACAACTACTTTATGTGGCTATATTGTTTCCACAAAGAATTGTGCTTTATCACCTCTGATACCCATTTCTGTGACCTCTACCTAGGAGTGCCCTTATGGATGTATGAAAATGAATGCCCCTGGTAATTCAATACATATGAGATTGTGTGCCTTCTTGGATGAGCAAAATTAAATTTACTTTACACCCAGCTTGAGTTTTTATCTTTCAATTATTTTTCCATCTTCATATCTGCCAGAATGAAGAGTTTTTCTGGGAGCTCTAGTGATGATTTCATCCTGTACCTGCTTGTGCTACTTTCCTCTTTCCTCATCTCTCTGAAAGATTTGACAGCAATCTTGCCTCATCTATTTACACTTGGGGAAGAGGCTCAGACCCAGTCCCTGCCATTCTTGTCTTTTGGTTTGCTAGCCACTCTTCCGAAAGAAGATTTAGGCTGGTCATGACTTATGTCCAGGAGAAAGTGGAGTTACATTGGACATTTGACAACTGAGGAGCAAGACATTCTGCCTTAATCCAGGATTGAGTCCTTGTGAGCACTATGTTTTTAGCCAAGTACTAAGCTAAATTTCACTGGTCTGTTTCATGTTAATAAGGATTTCTTATTCTGCATTCCAAATGCTTTCATTTCATGATGCACTGGGGACACTAAGAAACCCTAATTTTTTGATTTGACAGTTTTGGTCAGAAATTCTTAGTGACATCCAAAACTTAACATTTACTAATTTATAGAAGAATATTAGAAGGAGCAGTTACAATATATCACTTGTAAGAAGCATTAATAGAATTTTGGCAGGATAATGAGTATAAAGCCCCAAAATTAAAAAAAAAGCAATATATTATAGTGATGATAGCAATGTAATTGTAAGCTTGAACTTTGTTAGGGGCTATTTTTATGAATATTAAGGTGGATAAGTCCTGGTTCTGGATAATAGATTAGAACATGACTTAGAAGTTGATTACTATAATTATTAAATACATAATGAACTTTGTGATAAAACTATATGGTGAACTATCCTCTACTGTGTTATAATTATATTACCATTTTTATTAACCTCACCATCAGGGTGCTTTGAAAATGAAGCCAGTGTAAGCTTTAGAGTGTTGAATCACACCCCTAAGATTTCTGACATAAAGAGTCTGTTAGCACTTTAAAGTAAACTGTCTGAAACTGATATTACAGGAAAACTGTTACCTTTTTTAAAACAGTATAAGTGTTTGATAAATCTGAAAGATAAATAAGAACCTTAAATTCAATTACATGCATATTCAAAACCATTTTTGTGGTGTTATTTTGAGAAATGAATCAGGGAAAAAAGGTAGCATAGGATTTGTATCCACTCACCAGATGTTAGTCAAATTAATTGAATTCTGGTAAATAATTAAAATGATAAAATAAGGCAGTAAATGTGATGAAGCATTATAGAATGCCTAGGTCAAGGCAGCATTTGATACATACAATGAAAAGTAGACCCGGGTATTTTCCATTATCTTGTCTGCACATCATAATCATCAGACTTGCCTTTTATGCATGAATGCTTTCATCTTTGGTTTCTATTGAAATCTTGATTGACTGTGGCACCTACAGATATTTTATCTGAAAGATATTAGGCCTGCATCTAATAAAGCCAGGAGTTTGATTTTGCCCTTCAGCTGCTTTCTCATTTATACAGGTTTTTTCAATATTATGTAGACATAAATGTAATAAAAAAATCTCAAATGACTTGTTGCAGTTTTATACTTGTTTTGTTCATCTCTAATACCATTGCATTCTTTCTAATTTTTAGTCTGATACAATTGAATCACAAATATGGAGGAGAATAGAGGTATAATGTTAAATCATGAATGACAGTGTTGAGGAGATTTTCAGTTTTTAAAATGTCTAAATCTCATCTGTTTTAAAAGACTAACTTTGCTGTTATATTTACTTAAGCAAAATATAGATTAAAATAATTGGGGAAAAGTAAAAATTTTCCTCAGAGAGTATATTCTATTTGTATCTTGTGAATAAAGTACTGTAATTAAAAAAAATTGAAACTGATTTACATTGGTGAAAATTTTGGTTATTGGGAAAAATACTCATGTTCTTTACGACTTTGGGCAATGTGAGCTTGCATGATTAGTAGTAATATTGCTTCAAACAATGGAATAGTGGAAGTGAGTTAATTTTTTTAGATGGTTACATTTACTTGAAACAACCTTTATTATTTTGTCACATTATTAAAAAAAAAGGCAGTGTTCCTCCATAGAGACTACGAAAATTATCACTATGGAGTATTAATTTAGTTTTTGCTTAGTGTGTGTGTGTATAAGCCTGCAGAGCAGAGGGTCTTAGCCTTATACTCAGGGATCTCTGTGCCTATTGATGGGCTGAAAGTGGGAATTCTGTGCACTCCTTGAGATCATACTCAAAACTGAATTTCTGGGAAGCCGAATTTGAATATCCTAAGATGGTATGTCCTAAAAGAAGTTATGAGGTATAGCTGTCAAGATAATAGGATAGCAATAAATATCAAGTCATGACAAGTTTATGAACAGGTTCTGAATGATCTCTTCTTATATTTCTCTTCTGGAATTAAGAAAATCCCCTTTGTTAGCTCTCAAAATAATAATTATTCTCTTAAGCATTCATGTAGCTGATAGTCTGAAAATATTACATTATGATGCCTACTTTTGGGGATGGATGTTTATTTTAGTCTAGTGGTTAAGATGTTGGTAAAGACTCCTGTTTCACATTGAAGTACCCATATTCAACACTTAGCTTCATTTGCTGACTCCAGTGTTCCTGTTAATGCACACCCTGGGAGGTAGCAATGATGTCTCAAGAAATTAAGTGCCTGCCATTCATGTAGGAGACCTAGATTTGCTCCTGATTTCAGCCCTGGCTCATCCCCAGCCTTTTTGGGCAGGTGTAGAGCGAACCATCAGATGGGAACTTTTATCTCTGTTTCATAAATAAATGAGTGAATGGATGAACAAAAGAAAAATTCGGGTTTTGACAGGCTAGTAAATAAGATACCCTTGATTATAAATAATCAATTAAATGTCCATTTAATCCGTAAAAAATGAAGAAGTCCAGTGATATGTCTTCTAACTTCATGCCTAACTCATGCCTGTGGTATAGAGATGAATAATGAGTGGTATCTCAGGGTATATTTATTTGTATCTTTGTTGGCTCTATTTTATTAAAAATGTTGACACAATCCCTAAACTTAATTCCCTCATACTTTTTTTTTCTTTTAAATATTTTACTTATTTACTTGAGAAGTAGAGTCACAGTGAGAGGGAGAGACAGAGAGAAAGGTCTTCTGTCTGTTGGTTCACTATCCAGATGGCTTTAACAGCTGAAGTCAGGTGCTTCTTTCTGGTCTCCCATGTGGGTGCAGGGACCCAAGCACTTGGGCCATCTTCTACTGCTTTCCCAGGCCACAGAAGAGAGCTGGATAGGAAAAGGAGCAGCCGGGAATAGAACCGGCGCCCATATGGTATGCCGGAGCCACAGGCGGAGGATTAATCTACTGGGCAACAGTGCTGGCCCCAATTCCCTCATACTTTGATGTCAGTAATATTATTGTCTATCTTTAAATGTTTTTATATATATTATTCAGCCATGTTCTTAATAATTCTGAGAAGCGGCAAACAGAATAGGGAGAAATAACTCAGGAGGAGAATGCCACCTTGCAGGGGAAAGGAATTTTCATGGAAGGAAATGAGGATTTCTGTGATTCGATGGTGGAAATGGGGAAAGAGCAAGGAGGTTGACCCAGGAAAATCCTGATCAGCTTGACTCTGATGTTTTTGGTACCAGTGTTTTCTTCCATCTCTTCTCTTCCAAGTGGTTAAATATTGTCAGCTTCTCCAAATTAATGTTCATACCCCCCCCCCCCCCCCAAAAAAAATGGATTCTTGAATTCAGGCTGGTTTTGTGGCCTACTGGATTAAGCTGCTGCCTGAGACACTGGCATTTCATATAGATACCAGTTAAAGACCTGACTGCTCCACCTCGATCCAGCTTCCTTGTTAGTGGCCTCGGAAAGCAGGAGAAGATGGTGTAAGTGGTTGGGGCCCCTGACATGCACGTGGGAAACCCAGAAAATCTCCTGGCTATGCACTGGCTCAGCCTTGGCCATTGTGGCCATGTGGAGAGTGAACCAGCAGATGGAAGTTCTCTGTCTGTAACTCTGACTTTCAAATGAATAAAGAAAAAAAAATCATTAACCTTGATTTTAAATTTTTTCCAAAAAGTGTTTGGGTGATTTAATAGTAACAGCCATGTTTATTTGTTAGTCATATGAGAGCAACAGGGTTGCTATAATTGACCAGTGAGCTTACTAAGAAATAATAATAATAGAATTAAAAAGTAGGGAATGTTCTATATGGGAAGCAGTCCACACAGCAGACTCATAGAATGACAATCACTTTAAGTAACACTCTGACCTCAGAATCAGACCTTAAGGCATTTGGATAAGGCTGAAAAGCCCATGAAAGCAATTCAGGCATGGAAAGCCAAGACACTGTGACAGAAAATATCCTACATGAAGGAGCTCTGTGAATGAGATGCCAGTGGAAAAAAGGGGCCATCAAAGAATGATGTACTGTTTTTTGAAGGGAGGAGAGAATTTCCACT